TCACTCTCATTTATAATCGCAGCATCGTCTGATAAAATCAGCATGCATCTACACTAAAGTCGCGCTCGTGTGTGTGAGACGCGGGAGCTGATGGCAGGGGGCGGTGGATATTTGTGGCGGTCAATGTGGATATTGTGGATGAGTTCTTCTGTGTCATCATGTTCTATTAGTTCTACAGCTTCAGTTTCGGAACTTTCATGCTTAGTAACACATACAGCTGTTCCCTCACCACAGTGCAACAGTGAAAAGAGACCCCTTTCAAACGGTGTCGCGTTCCGAACGTTGTTTAAGTGACATACACCGGTATTGCGGTATTTTAAAAATTCATATCATAACAAAAATAAACACTGGTATTCGGTATGAACCGGTATACCGCCCAGCACTACTCAGAAGCCAGATTTATAACCAAAATGCATAGTAAGACAAGACAATCAAAATATCTGAGTTGGAACCTAGAAATTATGAAAAATATTTTAAAAATGTATTTCAATACAGTGCCAATTATGTAATACATTAATTTGGGAGCAATTATTGATATTGCCATTTCAAATTCCACTGAATTTCATTTATTCCTCTAAATGACTAGAGCCAGAGAAATTACATTATCTATAGTACCAGCACACTGTATCAGAACAATGTCGGGGCGGTTGTACTTTTTATTGATGTATGGCAAACGGGACACCTACACAGCCTCAACCCTACAGGGGGTTCCTGCATGGTGTGATAAGCCAAATATATACTGCCTAAACTTGTCTTTGAACACTACATTGAAGCTTCATCTAAGTGTCATGTGGGTTTGCTGTGAGGCACACTGATGTGATGTGATTCTTTTACTTCATTTACACATTTTGCAAATAAACGTTTTTTTTTTTTTTGCATTTAAAAGTTAAACCAAAAAGACAATTCTGTCCTCATTTACTCACCTCATGTTATTTCTTGTTTTCTGAAGAACATAAAAGAAGACACATTAGGAACAATATTGGACCTAACTGATGTTGTTGTAAATTGTTAAAAACGATTTTCACAAAAAAAAAAAAAAAAAAAAAAAAAAACATTACGGAGCATTTTCATTCGTGAAAGTCACACAGGTTTAAAAACGTGGGTGAGTAAATTAGACAGAAATTTTAAACCTATTTCAAAAAATGTAGAAACTTTTTAAAAGTCAATGATGTAATTTAGCAAACAATGTGCTGTCTTTATAATATCACATTTATACATTTATTACATCATATTTGGGAATCTTTAGCATCAAAAGTTTTGAAAACCATTCAGTTTTGGGTCAGTGAGATATAATAAATACCTTTATTCAGCAAGGATCCATTAAACTGATCAAAAGTGGAAGTAATAGCACATTACTATTAATATTTACATAAATACATAAATACTTCTATTGTCAAATAAATGCTGTTTTAAAAATAGATAATTATTAAGCAGCACAACTGTTTTCAACATTGATAATAATAAGAAATGTTTCTTGGGCACCAACTTGATATATTACAATGATTTCTGAAGAATGATGTGACACTGAAGACTGGAGTAATGATGCTGAAAATTAAAGGAAAATGTATTCAAAGAAAAAACATGTTTACGTTAATAATATTGCACAATATTACTGTTTTTACTTTATTTTTGATCAAATAAATGCAGCCTTGGTGAGCAGTAGAGACTTCTTTTAAAAACATTAAAAGATCTTATCCTAACCCAACGTTTTGATTGGTAATGTAGTCTTCTCTGTTTACATCACTTCCAAGGTAGGAATCTGTTCAGTCTACTGCATCTGTGTTTGCGGAGATAAACCGAACTACAGCTGTAGAAATTAAGCACACTTTAACATTAATGCTCACGGTAGATCTGCTGCCTAATCAGGGGGCTAATTGCACATTCTCATAGCTCTGCATTTTTAATAGCATTCAGATAAAGGGTCTTTTCACAATAATCCAGCATTTCTAAACAACTGTGTCAGAGATGACCCACTGTCTGTCCCTGAATGGCTCTTTGCATTTTGCTTTTCACTGTTAAATGCACTTGTTAAGTTTGTTCAAATGGTAAATGGCATTACACTTCCTGCACTGATTACCTTAATCTATGCTGTCGTAGTTTACTGTACTGTGTAGCTTTGTACATTGGAAATTAATTTGACTCCTGTGACTCACCAATGGATGCTCTGCATTGAATGGGTGCCGTCAGAATGAGAGTCCAAACAGCTGATAAAAACATCACAATAATCCACAGGTAATCCACACCACTCCTGTCCATCAATTAACTTCTTCTTAAGTGAAAAGTTGTGTTTATAATAAACAAATCCTTCAATACATTATTAACTTCAAAGTGTTGCTTCCGGCTGAGAAATATGCACAGATAGGAGTTGTGTGGATTATTGTGATGTTTTTATCAGCTGTTTGGACTCTCATTCTGATGGCACCCATTTACTAAAGAGGATCCACTGGTAAGCAAGTGATGTAATGCTAAATTTATTCAAATCTGTTCCAATGAAGAAACAAACTCATCTACATTTTGGATGGCCTGAGGGTGAGTACATTTTCAACTAATTTTCAACTATACTCAAACTCATCACATGTACAAACTGGCCATGAACTTGTCTGTAAATCCACAGTAAACGAGAGACTATATAAGAATATTTATGCTACTGAGAAAAAAAAATCTAAATTCTAAATGACTGAGAAAAAAATATTTAAATTGCATGTATACACAGACATCATGCCCATTCAAGCTAGAGTGGAATGTGCTTGCAATTTAAAAAATAAAAAGTTTGTTTGTTTATTTATTTACTTTAATGATTACTGTAGGTTAAAAAAAAGTTTTCGTCTAGAACGATGTGGTAAAGATCATCCATTCATGTCTAAATATTGTCCATTCAGTCAGGTCACACCTTCTTGTATATACTGCACGCAATACAATGCATAGCGATCACTGGCTGTCAAGTTGAACTGCAATTTTGCCAGGCCCACCACTGATGTCCCCTCATCTGTCCATCTCCAACCAGAATCATTGTGTGTGATAATGTTTTATATGTTCTCTGGGAAATTATTCATCAAAGTAATGGTCATACAAACATTCACAGCATATTTGCTATGATCTCTCAAGGGACGAGGGCACCATCAACAACCAAACAATTACTGTTTTCTTATAAAACTTGCTGTGTCCTAGAAATGCAATTGGACCTTGGCATAATCCTCTGGGTCTCATTCTCAGGACAATAAACAACAGAAAAATGGACAATTACCTCAAATCACCATTGGAAGCAAAAACGGCGACAGAAATATGAAAACCTCAAGGGAAAACCAATTCCAGTCTCAATATCACATACAATTGGCGAGTGCCTCGCACTATTGCATAAGTTTCATGTGCATCAGATAAATATGTGCCGAAATAAAATGTATAACGGCCCCAACATCAAGAAGATTTGTGACAGACTGATGAATTCTACAGAGTGGAAAAGCCTCCGGGGGAAATATGTGGTGGCTCTTGAGCAGAATGAAAGCCCTCTCAATCAGTAGGGCACATTAGAGAGCTTTTTGTGAAGCAGTGCCTCTTGGCTTTCTTCCAAATGCAAGAAGGATAATTCAAACTGACAGAGTGACCCCCTTCATACACAAATGGTGCTGGTCTTACAGAATAACAATCAGATCAAACAGATGCACTAAGAAAAGCAAACAGGGAGTGAGAGGTCTTCTAACAGACATTTAAAGGAAAGATAGCACATCACGTGAACTATGACCTTCACATGTTCTCCAGATGAAAATGTTCTATGGTCTAGTAGGAACATAATGATTGAAGAAATGGGCTCTAATATTCTAAGAAAAGAACTCAGAAGAGGGAGCACAAGTGTGGTTAATGCAAGGACGAGTGCATGGGAAGCAAGATTTATTTTTACAGGCCCGGATAGAAGCTACTGATTATTTTCTGCACTGATTTTGAGGTAAAATCTTTGGGACTTTGTGGAATGGACTTAAAAATGGTAAAACGTACTAAACAAATCTGACATTCGTATTGGCAGCCGAAAGCGTGATCAAATTAGCCAAAAATATGACAATTTGTTGAATGACAGGACGTAAAATTCTGTGGAAATATGTTGATTTTATGTGAACATGCATTTTCTTTCCAACCAAAGTTTCTCAAACATTATAGGAAATGTAGAACAATTGCAATATTTAATTGCTTTAATTATGATTCACTGCTGCCATTTCTTGCATTATATTTTGCTTGTAAAAACAAGGAAACAGCCTATAGATAAAAATGATTCTCTTCTACTTATTAAATGATGTCTACAAGTTCACAAGTATTCAAACAAGCATGTAACATTGCACATTAATTTGATATTAATTCAACTGACTCACAGAATTAATACACATGTGGAAAGACATGACAATGCAAACTTTGTTTTCATAATGTAACAAAACTTTCAGAACAACACCCTCAAGTTAGAGACCCAGGACAAATGCATTACACTGTTACAATCAGGCATTGCTATTATACTGTCCTTTCTCTAATTTCTCTGACAGCACTTTATAGTTCATCAATAACGTTATGAAACCATATAACGCTTAACAAATCATTTAATCCGTTTGATTGATATATTTTGATAGGTCAAATTAGGATTAAGCGCACCTAATCCTATCTTGCTCTTCTTGACATGTTTATTGCTTGAATGCTTGTCATGTGTTAAAGCATTGGGATGACAATCCCAGTAAAATCCAAAGTGTGAAACTAGATGAAATCATATCTAAATGCCCATAAAAAAACTGATCTGTCATGCATTATATAATGCCTGTGAACGTCAAAGATGCTTAAAGCCCACATACCATTTAACTGGTTATAGACCACATCTTCTAGTCGCTCGAGCCTTTTGAGAATGGACTGTCTGTCCATGGAGTTCGTAACTTTGGCATTCCTGCCTCGCAGTCTCTGATCCGAGAGCCTCCCGATCTGCACGAGCTCTTCGGATCGGTCCTGGATCCTGCAGTAGACGGAGAACAAGATGATACCGACGAACACCAGAATGTTGACCGTCAGCAGAGTTTTGATCTTGCGTGCCACAGCCATTAAAGCCCGAGAGCGACACTGTCAGACCCCTAATATTGATCCATATGATCCGCTGTGGAGGGAGCTGTCCTTTCAGCACCACGCACAACAACCCGCGCGCGCCGCAGTTTCACAAGCCTAACAGCTGATCAGCGAGCATAAACGATGATGCATATACGATATATAAGCGAAAACACGTAATAGAGGTCGCAATCAAATCCCACCGCCTCAGGTTCCCGCGCTGACCCCCATAACAAACGTTTAGAAATGTGTCAGAGCAGCCTACAGAGATTACACTCCGATTAAAAGCACGCGTTTAATCACGCTGTGCACTCAGGAGTCGAAGAGCACGAGATGTGCACAGTTCAGAAGGCTCATTTTAAATGTCAGTGCATGTCAAACAACGATCCTCCGTGGGCAGCATCCTTCGCGGGACTCCGTCTATCTGTTAAAGCAAAAATGCATCGCGCTCGGGATCAAAGTAGGACGCTATTTCAGATTAAATCCACAATCCTTATGCGACGAACGCAGGTGGAAGTGAAAAAGACGCTGTCAAGCGACGCTTTGCATGGCAGCGTTCTTCTCTCGCGCTCCTCGCATGCTCCCTCCCTCACATCCCGCTTTTCACGCGCTGCTTAGCGCTCCGGTGACGTCGCAAACTCATAAATATTCAACAGACTGTGCGAGGGGATGAAAGGCTGGAATATGATAGATGATGAGGATAGCTGGTGGATTACATTCTAATGTTTTCACGCAGATTGGCCAATTGAATTACAACTCTGAGAGTTTGTAGAAGAATATCGTTTTGCAATCATACCCTCAAGTGCAAATGTGGCATTTCAAATGGATTGTGAGCAATCAGTGGGTCGTTGACAAATTAATAAACACAGGAGCTGTTACTTTGAGCTGAAATTACTTATTTTATCTCAATGTGTGTGGCAAAAACAGTCGGTCGTGCTGCTTTATATTGCAGACGTTTATTTTCATATTATTTAAATTTGTATCATAAGTATAAACACACTGGTTTGTAACACTAATAGTTTTAACTTTAAAGGGCACCTATTATTAAGGGCACCCTTTTTACAAGATGTAATATAAGTCTCAGGTGTCCCCAGAATGTGTCTGTGAGGTTACAGCTGAAAATACTCCACAGATCATTTACTGTATTATTTTGAAATGTAAGCAGAAATACGTTGTTTTTGTGCATGTATCTTTAAATGCAAAAGTATTTTGCTCCCGCCCAGTTTTCCAGAATAGGGCTGTGCCTTTACAGCTCTTTACACCTTTACACCTCAGATACTCTGCCAAAAAACATCTGTTTGATTTTGATTATCATGTCTATTGTGCTGCAATCATGTGTTTTAAAGCCATATCAGTTTAAACTTATGATATAGGGTTTTCTAAGCCACACATTCGGGGCACACGCACAGAAAGCAGCTGTCACAGGGCATGTAAGTCCTGAAATTCTCTTTCATGTCTCATTGCGCTTAAACTGAAAAATACTCACAAGTTTATGTTAAAAACACACATAAGCTACAAAAACACAGTCGGTTATGTCTGTGAAGGTAAACAGCTGGGAAAGAAATCGATCGCATGTTTATATTAGATGACAGCAGCGTAATATACAGTACCTACTGCTGTCTATGCTGTTAATATGACACAAACAATAAAATAAAAACAGAAAATCACTCACTGCTCTTGAATTAATAATTCCTGTAGCTCTAATAAGAAGACATGTGTTACTTGAACACTGTTTTTAAATGCTCTAGCATGAAAATAAACATACTAGAAGGGATACCGCTAAAACCGGAAGCTAATGATAAATTTGATTTTCTACCTATTAGATTGTGTTTTATTAACCTCTACACCTACCCCAACCCTAAACCTACCACGATTTACATTCAAATAGACTACAGAAATGAGTTTTATTTTCTTTAAAATGTCTTTTAAATAGTTGACTAAATAGCTAATCATACTCAGGATGCCAAAAGACAACTATGATGAGGCAGATAACCTATTGTGTGTGATAATACCGAAAAGTCAGACTAGGGTGTTCTTCATACAAAGTTTTCCTATGACTTCAGAAGACTTGGAATATAGGACAAGTCGCATGGACCACATTTACAAATGTTTATTGGCAAAAAAAAGTCCATTGTCTATTGTCAATATTGTAGCAACTAGCAATATAGGAAGCACACCAACCAAGCAGCTTTCTGTTGGTCAACATGGTTGGGCATTGGGCAAGCTAACCTTTTATATATAGTGAGCAATCTCATTCACATGAGCAGACCGGACACGTGTATACAGCAGTGGGCAATTTTAGCACCATGCTAACTTGAATGCTTGCCATGGGAACTGCCTGACCAGTGATTCAATCTAAATAATGAATCCGGTAAGTTGCAGCGGGAACAGATGGAGACAGAGAGAGGAAAAAAGAGACAGGAGAAGAGAATGGAAATGTCAGCTGTAGCATATCAACATACTATGCATGCTATTTTTGCACTATAAATACTGCATACATACAATTTTTCTGTATTCATAGATACACAGATGAGATAACTTACTACATTAGCAATAATGTGCAGTATTCAACAAAAGCACACACAATAAATATCCCGTTACGCAACATGACCTTCCATTTCAGTGTGAAAAGTGAACCAGAAATTATAAACTGTGACCGGTCTCTTCAATTATTATCGGATTAGAATGACAAAAGTTTAAAAAATTTAAAAAAAAACACACACACACTCAGATCACCATCTCCCTGCTGCACGGAGCTTAAGCCCGAGCCCACCGATGACGGAGAGCCAGAGCTCGCCGCGACCGATGAGCCATCACCAGAGAGAGCGACAGTGCTGAGGATCGCCCCTGGCTCCTCCCTCCTTTGTCACCTCCCTGGACTCTGTCTACCGGCCTCCTCCTTGTTGCCAAATCCACGGTTTTTCCACGGAATTGGGCTACTTTAACACTGTTGCCGCGGTTTGTTTTTCATGTCCGCAGGTTGAAGCGACTCGAATAACATGATATTTATCCCCTGGAATGCAGATTTTAGCTAAACGTGTATTTTACCCCCCGGAACACAATTCTTAACTGGGAACCCCCTCAAAACGCCGGAGGTTGACGGGGCGGTGGTAATTAGCCCCGATCAGAACAGTGAGAACTCGACTGCATACTCCAACAGGAGTATGAGCATCTATCTCAGATCCAGAACACAGCCAGGCCCAGAACCCATCCCACCATCTCCCTGCTTAGCTCCCTCCTCTCCGCTATGGCCCATCAGTCCACTGGCTCCACCGGGCTCCCTCGTCCCTCCTTCTTGGCTCCTCCCTCTGTCGTCACCTCCCTGGACTCTGTCTGCCGGCCTCCTCCTGGGTGTCCGTCCTCCTCCTGAGCCTCCTCCCAAGTTCCCTCCCTCTGTTGTTTCTACGGCGCAAGGACGCGCCTTCCGGGAGGGGGCGAAATGTCAGACCTTTGCTCCCTATGGCCAAGTTTCTCCCTCACGTTGATTGTTCATGGATGTCAGGTGTGTCTCATCTGGTCCCAGTGTTGCCAAATCCACGGTTTTTCCACGGAATTGGGCTACTTTAACACTGTTGCCGCGGTTTGTTTTTCATGTCCGCAGGTTGAAGCGACTCGAATAACATGATATTTATCCCCTGGAATGCAGATTTTAGCTAAACGTGTATTTTACCCCCCGGAACACAATTCTTAACTGGGAACCCCCTCAAAACGCCATTGGGCTAGTTTTGGGCTAGTTTTGAGTAGTGATTGGGTGGGTTTTCTTGTGAAAACCTGGCAACCCTGTCTGGTCCCTCGTTATCCTGTGTATTTAGCCCCAGTCTGTGCAGTCTGTGTTTGTCGGGTCTACTTGTTGGATTACGTGTGTTTACCCCTGTTCCTGTTGTGGATTTACCCCTGTGATTCTCTTATTAAATACCATTTATGTTATCCACGTCTCCATCGTTCCTTCCAGCAGTGTATCGTGACACTAGGAAGGGAACTGATGAAGACACATTTTACCGTCTTGTAAGTATTTTCACACTTCAAACTGCTGTTAAGATCGTACAGTATCAACAAATATAGTGCCCATGGGCAACATCTGTATAGCTAGACTAATCAAATAAGTCATAAGTCAAGCAGGTGAAGAGGTATCCCACAATATGAATCCTACAAAATCGTTTAAAATACACTGTTGAGGAAAACATTGCACCCTGATTGTGTTAAACTCAGATTTGTTCAGCCAGTCTGGCAGCGAAACGGAAACTGCAAACGCTCACACAAATTGTGCGATAATCAAACCTCGCCTGGAGGTGTTGGAGTTTAATCCTCTCAAAGCAACCCATGCAGCCTCTGTTACATGGCATCTTCAAAATAAAATAATAAATACAGAATAAACATAGGAAAACTCAGAAAAATTCACTCAAAAACATCCTAATGCATGCACATGCTGTTAGAAAGAGTTGGCCGGGATTTGACTTCAAAAGCCAAACTGAAACAATGGTTCCCATGATGCTTTCAAAAAAAATAATATCCTGTAGTTTTACCTGTTTCCCTCAATTCTTTCATTTTTATTTCCATTTCACTTTCCTCAAAGCTACCAAAGTCCTCTAACTACAAATAATGGAGTTCGACATGAATAACAGGAGGAATGTGTTTATCTATTCCTGTCAATCACAATTCAACTTGTAAGTATATAAACTGTCGCTTGCCACACTCCTGTGACTCTACATAAAATCTGTTTTAAGTATTATAATCTTTATTAAAGCTACACTACGTAACTTTTGGCCGTCTAGCAGTTGAAGCATAAAACTACACGTTACTTGCAAAAGTTTTAGTAAGTATGTGAGTTGTGCTTTGGCTATGCTATTGTTTTTTTCTGTATTAACAGATCAAGAAAATTTAAACACGATAAGGAAAAAATCCATTGTGAAAACACTAAAGTATAAATAATTATTGTAGGCTTTCCAAAGTGATTAAAGTTAAGGCAAAACACTGTTTAGAAAATGCTTTTATGATGTACTTATTTTGTTTAACAATTATAATTTGGGGGGACAAAGTGAAGTAGTGTATCGTTAAGTAGACCATGGGAGAAATGTAGAGTTTGAGTCAAGTCTCCATCTTGAACAGAAAGACAAATATATTTATTTTACCTCATTTAAGTATTATATAAAAAGATGCACTCTTAAATTAAGTTGTATATGTCTTCTTCTTACTGTAGCTTACAACACGCATGTCATTTGTTCTCATATGCGTAACAACAAGAACTGGCTGTCTTTGCCGAATTTAATTAGTTTTCCTGTCTAATGTGAATTGCATTACAGAAGATGCTGATTGGGTTTGTTAAGACGTCTGCTAAAACAGATGGGACTGGGAAATGCTTGCATTTTCTCCAAAACAACAGAAAGAACATGATTGCTGCTGATCGACTTTAGCTGCTGTAGTAATGATAATGTTAACAACAGTTTTCAGTTCCTGAACAAATTCGAAAGAAACTGGGTAAAATATTGAACCTTTTGAAATATTGACCTTTTTTTTTTTGAGCCACAGTTTTGTTCACAGGTACATGACAAAGTCCCAAATTTTCTTGAAGTTTGCATTAAATGGAAACTACAAGCGTCGTCTCT